GCGCGTCTGGAGCCTGTGCTCTGCAACGGGAGAGGCCACAGCAGTGAGAGACCCGCGTACCGCAAAAAAAAAAAAAAAAAAGTGTACTAAAATAGACAACTCTCAGGTTTCCTCAGGTTCTAGATTGAATAGCTTTACTTCTTTCAAACTTTCTTTGTGTAATATGGTGTCTATGCCCTTTGACATTCTCCTGATATATTTCTGAATACATGTGCTTCAAAATGCTGGGTTTTGTTATTTTGCAGGGAATCAGGAGAGTCACAGAGTTTGACCTGGAGGCAAAAACATTGCACAACCACTTTCTAAGCTGTTGACCAGAGCACCTGGCTCTTTCACTTCATTCCTAGGTCACCCATCAGCTTCCAGCTTTAGAAGGTATAGTTCAGGAAAATTTGCAAGACGCCCAGGGAATTGGATGCCTGTGTATATTTAAGAACTGTAGTTTTTAGTATTTAAGATGTGTTTTGGGAAAGAAACTGGGAAATATAAGACTATCAGAGGGGATAGTTGAATTAACCAATAAAATACATGCTAAGTGGTCAAGGTGAGCTTGGTAATTACAGACATTTTTCATTCATTCAAAAATATTTAAAGTAATATTTTCCACCAGTTGATGTAACCCAAAATAGAATTAGAACTTTTATTTCCTAAACTGTATTTCTGCTCCCCAACTTCCTCTCTCTCCCATGTCCAGGAAAACAAGTATTTTGTGAGCGGGCTGATTTGTGTTTCAATTTGCCCGTGACCTACAGAATTCAGCACAGATGTCTTGAAAATTGAAGCCTAAAGCCAAAGTCAGTGGTCTGTTGCCCTGATAGTCAACAAGGGCCATTAACTGGCTATTTTAAGTTGGTTCATTGTTGAATGATGTTCAGCTGAAAACTGGAGTAAGAAGCTGAAGACTCATGCTTTTCTAGGTAAAATGAACACAAGAATTTTGGCACGTAAAACTGTGTGGATTAAAGAGTTCAAAGGTGGGTACTAAGTAAAATTTCTGCATGAATAAATGTAGCAGTTTTCAAATTTTTTATTCTGCAACCTTGGAAGATTTCTTTGATGGTCTTATGTATGTCATCACCTCTAAAGAGTGCAACATATGTACATGCACACACACAATCCATCTTTCTATCTCTATCTCCTCGTGTCGACTGGAAAACCAGATGAATGGAGTGCAGAGGGACGAAGGCCAGCATGCTGTTTGGAATTTCAAAGATCAGTATATCTGAAGATGCTCTATTTATGAAACACATGCTCTTTTATTTTTTTGAAGTAGCAACAACAAGGTTCATGGACAATGTCAAAGAAAAGGCAAGAAAAGGGTCAAGTACTGCTGAAGAAAACCACCCAAATTTGAGGAAAGGCCTCACAACACAGTTTAGTCGCCAGCTGCAGTTGCACCTTCAGTGCCCAGCCAATGATCCTGCCTTTCACGTTACAAACTTAAGCCACCAAGCATGTGATATCCCTCCCTACATCTAGTGATCCATCTGCACAAGTGCCCAGCTCTACCTTATTTCCTTCAGTCTCAAATGAAGTTGTGTTGCTTCTTCTGGGCATTATTCTATTAGTAATTCTCTTGGCTTCCTATTTTTAAATGTTTTCTCTTTACTTACTCCTCAGTGGCCATAAGTATGCTCAAGACAATAAATGAATGAATGAATGAATGAATTAAAAGAAACACTCAACCTCAGGAATATTCTTTTTTTTTTTTTTTGGCCATGCCATGTGGCATGCAGGATCTTAGTTCCCTGACCAGGGATGGAACCCATGCCCCCTGAGTTGGAAGTGCAGAGTCTTAACCATGGGATGCCCAGGGAAGTCCCCCTGCCATTCATTTTTAACCCACCAACAATCTGGCTTTCCTCTACATTATGCTACTGAAACTACTTGGCAAATATCACTAATTCTAACTTTCAGTCCTTATTTACTTGACCTCTAACTGCATTTGACACAGCTGATCAATTTCTTCTAAAAACTCTCATCTCCCTAAGCTTTTCTGACAGTATTCTCCCTGATTCTTCTTCTGTATTTCTATCATTTCTTCTCAGTCTCTTTTGTGGGTTTCTCTTCCTCTGCTCACCCCTCATGTTGATTTGCACGAGAGCCTTATCCTTGTCTTTTCTTGCTTCTCTTTCTATTGTTCTTGAATGACAGAACCTATTTCCACGAATCCATCTACCATAATATATGCCAATAGTTCCCAAAACATTCTCTTGTAACTCCAACTTTGTTAACAGATACTTCCATTTGGATGTCACAGAAATTCAACATATTCCCAGACTCAACCCGTTTTCTTTTCCATAAACTCTTTCC